AGAATGGGAGTCGTTTTGCGCTGCGTCCATCGTTCTTAAGGGCCACATCCCAAAAGCAGTTTCGAGCACCCGGAAAAGTGTCGAAAGAGCATCGAATCAGCGTCGAAGCAGTGTCGGACGAGCGTCCTCCAGGGCCCGACACGCGAAAAACCTCGAGTCCCACCAGCCCTTCGGGCGTGAGTGGTTTAGCGAGCTCTCTCTGTTCTCAACCCCCCTTCTTCCCCTTCGGGGAGGGGTTTACCCCTCCCCCTACCCCCTCCCCCTGGACCTGGAGAGGGGGTTTCGCGGGTGGTCAGAGGGTCCTTTTTCTATCCCTGGGAGGGCTAAAATTCGACACCCCTCACGAGGATCGTGGCCCCGACGGGGGTACTGACAAAAATGCTCGCCTCATCTGTGATCGATCGCCCCAAAGATGGCCCCAGCAGGCCCCCAAGACGCTCCAAGAGGCGCCCAAGAGGGCCCCTGGACGCTCCCAAGAGGCTCAAAAGAGAGCCCAGGAGGCCCCTCTACGATCTCCAAGAGGCCCCCAAGAGGCCCCAAGAGGCCTCCAAGAGGCCCCCAAGATGCCCCCAAGAGGCCCCCAAGAGGCCCCAAAAGGCTCCCCCGAGGCACCCAAGACGCTCCTGGAAGCCCCTGGGGCCGCCAAGAGGCCCCCAAGACGCCCCAAACGGCCTCCAAGAGCCTCCCCAGAGGCCCGAAGAGGCTCCCCCAAGGCACCCAAGACGCTCCTAGAAGCCCCTGGGGCCGCCGAGAGGCCCCCAAGACGCCCCAAAAGGCCTCCAAGAGGCCCCCAAAAGACATCTACGACTACTACTACTACTACTACTACTACTACTACTACTACTACTACTACTACTACTACTACTACTACTACTACTACTACTACTACTACTACTACTACTACTACTACTACTACTACTACTACTACTACTACTACTACTACTTACTACTTACTACTACTGCTGCTGCTGCTGCTACTACTACTACTACTACTATTACTACTACTACTACTACTACTACTACTACTACTACTACTACTACTACTACTACTACTACTACTACTACTACTACTACTACTACTACTACTACTACTAATACTACTACTACAACTACTACTACTACTACTACTACTACTACTACTACTACTACTACTACTACTACTACTACTACTACTACTACTACTACTACTACTACGGGACACTCCGTTCTCACCAGTGCCAGGGTTTTCATGCGACGCCCGCCAATACCCCCACTTTGTGGGGGGGCCGGTTCAAGCTCTACCACATTTCCAAACGACTCTTCGCCACCACCCACACCCAGCTTCCCGCCCTATGACGTTCGGACACTTCACTTCGTGGCCTGCGGACGACCGTGGCTACTACACTGGCGCATGGGTACAGTGACTTGTTGTGGTAACATTTTCTGGACGCTAGCTTAGTATACGACTTTTCCCCCTTAACAACCGAAGATGGTATTATTTGACAGGGATGATGACCCTGGCAGGTGCGCAACGGTTGTTGGAGAAGTTCGAAGCACGTGAACAAGTTGCTCGGAAAAGCCCATTTGACAGAAATGTTTAAAAAGTGTTGGGTTTCCGACAAATCCGCAAGAGCGCGCGGGATGAAATTTTGACATTTTTGTTTTGAAAAACCATTGGTTTTTTGATGTTTTTATGTTGAAATCGCTACGAACACTAAGGTTTTGGAAGGATTTCGTCTTGCGCGCGCGAATGTCCACTTTACCTTATTTTTTGCAAGGGATTCTTGAAGTTTGGTTATGTTAGAACAAGAAATGTCCACTTTAGCTTATTTTTTGCAAGGGAAAACGGGGGACAACAAAACAACCGGATCCGGACACCCACGTTTTGCCTGAGACTTCCTCACGGAAAATGATGAAAATGAGGCTGCGGCCTAGGCGCGGCGAGGGGGCCGCGCACCAGGGGTCCCAACAATAATTATTCTTTAGAATTCAATAATGTTCAACAACAAAAACGACAACAACAACAACAACAACAACAACAACAACAACAACAACAACAACACTACAACTACTACTACTACTACTACTACTACTACTACTACTACTACTACTACTACTACTACTACTACTACTACTACTATACTACTACTACTACTACTACTACTACTACTACTACTACTACTACTACTACTACTACTACTACTACTACTACTACTACTACTACTACTACTACTACTACTACTACTACTACTACTACTACTACTACTACTACTACTACTACTACTACTACTACGAGGGGACCGAACGACTCGCACCAGGACGAGGTGCCCGAACGCCTCACACCACGAGGAGCCCGAACGACTCACACCAGGACGAGGGGCCCGAACGACTCACACCACGACGAGCCCGAACGACTCACACCAAGAGGAGGGGCCCGAACGACTCACACCAGGACGAGGCGCCCGAACGACTCACACCACGAGGAGCCCGAACGACTCACACCAGGACGAGGGCCCCGAACGACTCACACCACCAGGAGCCCGAACGACTCACACCAGGAGGAGGGGCCCGAACGACTCACACCAGGACGAGGGGCCCGAACAACTCACACCACGAGAAGCCCGAACGACTCACACCAGGACGAAGAGCCCGAACGACTCACACCACGAAGAGCCCGAACGACTCACACCAGGAAGAAGGGCCCGAACGACTCACACCAGGACGAGAGGCCCGAACGACTCGAACCACGAGAGCCCGAACGGCTCACACCAGGACGAGGGGCCCGAACGACTCACACCACGAGGAGCCCGAACGACTCACACCAGGAAGAGGGGCCCGAAGGACTCACACAAGGACGATGGGGCCGAACGACTCACACCACGAGGGGCCCCAACGACTCCCACCAGTCGTCGTCGTCGTCGTCGTCGTCGTCGTCGCCGCCGCCTTCGTCGTCGTCGTCGTCGACGTCGTCGTCGTCGTCGTCGTCGTCGCGGTTGTGGTCGTCGTCGTCGTTGCGGTCGATATCGTCGTCGTCGTCGGGTGCGTCGTCGTTGTTAGGATCATCGCTGTGGTCGTCGTCTCCGCTAAATCCCTCTTGCCTCCCACCGCTTTCTCTCCCTCCTCCTCCGCCTCGTCCTTCTCCCGCTCCCACCACAAGGAGGATGTACAAGGAGGCGGGAGGAAGGAGGAACAGGGGAGATATGCGGGGGCAAGCGGACACACGCCTGAAAAACACGACTGTCAGCATGCTTCGCAAGAGTTGCTGTTATGAGATGGGCTGGTGGGGATACGCGAAGCGTGAAGAACTTCGGTATTTGCTTCTGGTGCTCAATATTCTTTCTGGTGAACAAGGCTACAGTAGGTTGGAACACCATAAGAGTCGTTGAGGAAAATTGGATCCCCGCCCGCCTTCTGAAGACGAAGGAGAGGGAAAACGTGCGGCAACCCATGGGAGCCTCCCGTGTCATCATGCTGAATCTTGCGAACCGACGGTAACCGACGTTAATCGACGATAGTCGACGCTGAACCGACGCTGAACCGACGCTGAACCGACGCTCGTCGACGCTGAAACGGCGCCTTATCGATTGCCAGACGCTAGCGCGCGCTAATGCACTCGAAGTCTGCAACTCGAGGACATACCAAGCTCCCATGAGTTGCTACTGGGGAAAACCACTCCATCCAGAAGTACCTACTTCCAACGACCGATGGCTCCACGACGGGGACCTCGGCAAGGCCACCATAACAGGAACGCCTTCCGGTCGCCCTCTCCTCCTCCCCCTCCTCCTCCTCCTCCTCATCCTCCTATTCTTAGGTTCGTGAATTGCGACTGTATACAGGCGGTCCACGACCACTTCGGGCCAAAAAAACCAAACAACAAAAAACACCAGGAAATCTTGAAACAAAAACTTGGGGATGTCGACATGCTGACAAAAACTCAAACACCGAACCTGCGAAAAACTCAAACCCACAAAAACATAGAAAAAAACAGAAGCTCAAACCTGGAAAAAAAACATTCAAACCAAACAAAAACTCCAGAACATCTCCAAGCCGAAACCTAGGAAAAAATCCGGAAACACTCTGGAACAACTCTGGAAATACTCTGGAAATACTCTGGAAAAACTTTGGAAAAACTCTAAACGACTGAAAACACTATAACAACTCTGGGGAAACTCAAAAAAAAACTCGAAACGCGTGAAAACACCAAAAAAGAACTGTAGAAAAACTCTGGACAAAAACTCCAATGAAACTCTGAAAGAAAAAACTCTAAACCAATATTTTAAATAACAATAATGATAATAATATACGAAGAAGGGGGGGGGAAAAAAAAAAAAAAAAAAAAAAAAAAAAAAAAAAAAAAAAAAAAAAAAAAAAAAAAAAAAAAAAAAAAAAAAAAAAAAAAAAAAAAAACGGTCGTGAGTTGTTTCCGGGTTTGAGCTTCAGGTTGTTTCTGAGTTTTTTGGTGGGTTTGAATTTCTTCCCAGGTTTCGGCTTCAAGATTTTCTGTAGTTTCTTCTGTGTTTGAGTTCCCTGCCGTCGTCGTCGTCCATGCTTTGTCCTCTCCCTCCTTCTCCCTCGCTCCCTGCGGGCTGGCGGAGTGGCGCGGGCCTCTCGAGCACCTGCTCCCCACGACCGACGGGCACCCGTGCCCGCGCGCCCCTGGAGGAGGGGAACTTGGCGGGGCCGCCCCTCCGCACGGCGACCCCGCGCGCGCGCGGCCCCCCTGAGGTATGGCGCTGCCTCGCTTCCGCTCGGGGCGTGCTCGCCCCGCTGCGGGCCCTGGGGCCCTCACGGATATCGCTGCAGCTCGCAGAGTGCCGCGGAAGCGTGGTGTCCTGGGACTCCGGTGGCGACTGTTTGCGATGCTGCAGCTTTTCGGACAGCGTCGGACTTCAGGACCTCTTGGGGAGGGGGTGGCTGGGGAGGAGGAGGACGAGGAGGACGAGGAGGAAGAGGAGGAGGAGGAGCGAAGCAGGAGCGGGGAGGAGAGAGGAGCGAAGAGGAGCGACGCCGGCTCTCGCGGCCCGCGGCGGGGCCGCGGCGGGGCCAGTCCATGTACTCGCGCACGACCCTGTGGTCGCCGTTGCTTGCCTCCACAGCGCCGGCCCCCGCCAGCCAGAGCGGTGGCCGCACCGCCACGTCCCCGCGGGCCCAGCGCCGCCGACGTCGTCGCCGCCGCCGCCGCCGCCGCCGCCGCCGCCGCGGTCGCCGTCGCCACCGCTGCGGTCGCCGTCGTCTCCGCCGACACGGTCGCCGCCGCCGCCGCCGACGTGGCCGTCGCCGCCGCCACCACGGTCGTCGTCGCCACCGCCGCCAAGAGGAAGGGGGAGGGGACGGGGGGGAGAGAGGAGAGAGGAGAGAGGGGAAAGAAGGGGGGAGGGAGGCAAGCTGGGTGCGCTGGCACCACTGCTGGCGTCCTACCCCCTCCTCCCTTCTCGTCTCACTGCGTGTCAGACCATTCAAGCTCAGGAAAGAAGAGCGAATAGCAAGGCTGGTAGACAAAACCTACCATATCAGCAGCTTTTCGGGCAGAAGCCAGCCGCTGCGGCGAGGGCGACTCCTGGCATCCAAAGCACGCGGAAAACTAGGAGTGCGAACGCAACCACATCCTTTAATTCCTCATCTTCCTCCCCCCCTCCCTCCTCTGCCTCCTGCAAGCTATAAAGTAGAGAAGCCATGTGTCACGCAAGCACGCAAGCACCAGATGTTTTTCGTCGCAGCGCGGCGAAAGCGTCCGCATTTGCACTCTAGTAGCCTGGGGCGCGAAATACGAATTGGCCAGCGGCACGAGGGGGGAAAAAGGCGGAACGCGGCCGCAGAGGGCGGGAGGAAGGGGAGACACTCACAGCGCGATGAACATCGGCAGGGATGGCCGGGGCGGCCGGCCGTTGCTGAGGCATCCTGGGAGTGGACGCGGAACGGCATCGCGCCCACGTGCAGGGGCTGAGGCAATGGCCGCGGGCGCTGCAAGCGTAGAGCTAGTGGAGCCAGTAAGGGAGGGGGCGGCAAGCGGCGCCACTGTGGCGGGCACAGTCCAAGCGTCCGCCAAAAGGGCCGTGAGCGGCGGGCACTGCCGCGGCACGGGGGGGGGCGGGACGCGAAGGCCAGCAAACACAGGGGCTGGCCAGCGCCGACCTCGCAACAGCAAAATGCTGCAAGGCTGCCATTTTTGTACTGCGGACGGCCACGCGGCGGGACTGCTGGCAGGGCATCATGCAAACACCACTCACCACAAGGGGAGAAGAACAACAAAAAAAAACTGCAAAGCGACCTACCAGCGATGTGTAGGAGCATATCTGGAAGCATTCCCCTTAAGATTCAGATGAGAAGCCAGTTGTAAAATTCTGCTGTCCTCGCAGTCGTAGTCGCATTCGCGATGACAATCGCAGTGGCAACGGCAGTCGCAGTCACAGCCTCAGCCTCAGCCTGCCTCAGCCTCAGCCTCAGCCTGCCTCAGCCTCAGCCTGCCTCAGCCTCAGCCTCAGCCTGCTTCAGCCTCAGCCTCAGTCTGCCTTCAGCCTCGGCCTCAGCCTCAGCCTGCCTCAGCCTCAGCCTGCATCAGCCTCAGCCTCAGCCTCAGCCTGCCTCAGCATCAGCCTGCCTCAGCCTCAGCCTCAGCCTGCCTCAGCCTGCCTCAGCCTCAGCCTCAGCCTGCTTCAGCCTCAGCCTCAGTCTGCCTTCAGCCTCGGCCTCAGCCTCAGCCTGCCTCAGCCTCAGCCTGCATCAGCCTCAGCCTCAGCCCTCAGCCTGCCTCAGCATCAGCCTGCCTCAGCCTCAGCCTCAGCCTGCCTCAGCCTCAGCCTCAGCCTGCTTCAGCCTCAGCCTCAGTCTGCCTTCAGCCTCGGCCTCAGCCTCAGCCTGCCTCAGCCTCAGCCTGCATCAGCCTCAGCCTCAGCCTCAGCCTGCCTCAGCATCAGCCTGCCTCAGCCTCAGCCTCAGCCTGCCTCAGCCTCAGCCTCAGCCTGCTTCAGCCTCAGCCTCAGCCTCAGCCTGCCTCAGCCTCCGCCTGCCTCAGCCTCAGCCTGCATGAGCCTCAGCCTCAGCCTCAGCCTCAGCCTCAGCCTGCCTCAGCCTCAGCCTGCATCAGCCTCAGCCTCAGCCTGCCTCAGCTTCAGCCTCAGCCACAGCCTGCCTCAGCCTCAGCCTCACCCTGCCTCAGCGTCTGCCTCAGCCTGCCTCATCCTCAGCCTCAGCCTCAGCCTCAGCCTCAGCGTCAGCCTGCCTCAGCCTGCCTCAGCCTCAGCCTGCCTCAGCCTCAGCCTGCCTCAGCCTCAGTCTGCCTCAGTATCAGCTTGCCTAAGCCTCAGCCTCAGCCTGCCTCAGCCTCAGCCTCAGCCTTCAGCCTCATCAGTCTGCCCTCAGCCTCAGCCTCAGCCTGCCTCAGCCTCAGCCTCAGCCTCAGCCTCAGCCTCAGCCTCAGCCTCAGCCTCAGCCTCAGCCTCAGCCTGCTTCAGCCTCAGCCTCAGTCTGCCTTCAGCCTCGGCCTCAGCCTCAGCCTGCCTCAGCCTCAGCCTGCATCAGCCTCAGCCTCAGCCTCAGCCTGCCTCAGCATCAGCCTGCCTCAGCCTCAGCCTCAGCCTGCCTCAGCCTCAGCCTCAGCCTGCTTCAGCCTCAGCCTCAGTCTGCCTTCAGCCTCGGCCTCAGCCTCAGCCTGCCTCAGCCTCAGCCTGCATCAGCCTCAGCCTCAGCCTCAGCCTGCCTCAGCATCAGCCTGCCTCAGCCTCAGCCTCAGCCTGCCTCAGCCTCAGCCTCAGCCTGCTTCAGCCTCAGCCTCAGTCTGCCTTCAGCCTCGGCCTCAGCCTCAGCCTGCCTCAGCCTCAGCCTGCATCGGCCTCAGCCTCAGCCTCAGCCTGCCTCAGCCTCAGCCTGCCTCAGCCTCAGCCTCAGCCTGCCTCAGCCTCAGCCTCAGCCTGCTTCAGCCTCAGCCTCAGTCTGCCTTCAGCCTCGGCCTCAGCCTCAGCCTGCCTCAGCCTGAGCATCAGCCTGCCTCGGCATTCAAAATGTTACCCGGGAATGGAGTTCTGGGAACTCGAAGAACACGAAGTGGCCTACAGTTGGCTCCGGGCATTCAAAATCATGCCCAGGAATGGAGTTCTGGGAACTCGAAGACCACGAAGTGGCCTACAGTTGGCTCCGGGCATTCAAAATCATGCCCAGGAATGGAGTTCTGGGAACTCGAAGACCACGAAGTGGCCTACAGTTGGCTCCGGGCATTCAAAATGTGGCCCGGGAATGGAGTTCTGGGAACTCGAAGAACACGAAGTGGCCTACAGTTGGCTCTGGGCATTCAGAATGTGGCCCGGGAATGGAGTTCTGGGACCTCGAAGACCACGAAATGTGTAACTGTTTGCTTAAAACGACTTCCGCGGATGCCGGACCCCCTCTGGGGAGTCATGATGCTCTCTTTTGAGACCACTAGAAACCTATCAGTCTTCGCTTTTATATATATAATACATTAAAATATTTTCAAATAAAAAATAATAATAATAATAATAATAGTAATAATAATAATAAATAATAATAATAATAATAATAATAATAATAATAATGCATATATAATTCTAGTTTTATATATTTTTTTTAACAAAAAAAAAAAAAAAAAAAAAAAAAAAAAAAAAAAAAAAAAAAAAAAACGCTCAGCTCGGGCAGGTTGTGACCTGCGGGCGGAAGGAGGGCGGTGGGCGGGCCGATGCGGGCATCGGAACCTGGGAGAAGACCTTTCTGGAGCTTCGGACTCTCTGAGCAGGCCTTGCGGGAGCACAGGCCGAGCACGTTGTGTTTGCTGCTGGCTTGCTTTGCGCAAGGTGGCAAAGTCTCCATACTCAGAGCAATAGGTGACGGAGAGACCTGAATTCTCGAACCCAACAACCTGGAGGACATGCTGGCGCCAAGGGGCGGAGAGCATGGACTCCAAGGCAGGGTTGAGGCCAGCGCATTGAACGTGGCTCCATATGACCGTTAGCAGCTTCACAAACATGATGATATTCATTCATAACGGTGACCTCTACGCAACACCCTGAGCTCCTCCGACGGGCGATGCTCCTCAACCTGGTGCGCTTGGACTTTTTCCAGGGGCCCAGGGCGGACCCGAGCGATTTCCTCTCAAACGTGGGCCCGGGGCCTGGCCCTCGGCAAGACCCACGGGTGGTGCCCCAGGGATTTGCACAAGGCGGCGCACGCGGCATGAATTTCTCTAGACGGGCACTGGACGTCGCTGTGGCACACGGCGACACCAACAGCAGCGCGTTCGGCCGCGCCGCTCGACCGAAGCATGCTCCCAGGCAGCGGTGCCCTGAGGTCTCCGACGCGGCCCCCTCTCTCGTCCACCTGGACCACGCTGACTCCCGCACGGGAAAGGTGGCTGACTCGCGGGAAGAAGCAGGACCCGTCAGAAAGAAATGCGCCGGCATGACAACTAAACTCGTGGCACTCAGCCCCATCTGGGCCAGAGAGCGCGAGGTGCCGGTCTGCGGCAGGTAGCTCGCAAGACGTGTCCTCACGGCCCGGTCACGCTCCGCCAGACAGGAAACTCTCGGACCCATCTGCAAATGCTTGGCCGATCATTTCCATGGGGTTGTTTTCTCTCCCTCTTTCTCTTTCTCTCTTTTTCTCTCTCTCTCTCTCTCTCTCTCTCTCTCTCTTTCTTTCTCTCCCTCCCTCTCTCTCTCTCTCTCTCTCTCTCTCTCTTCTCTCTCTCTCTCTTCCTCTCTCTTTCTCTCTCTCTCTCTCTCTCTCTCTCTCTCTCTCTTTTGCTATTTATCTTTCTCTTTCTCTCGTCTCTCTCTCTCACTCTCGTCCTTCTCTTTCTCTCTCTCTCCGCTTTCTCTCTATATGTTTGTTTTTTTTTTTGTTTTTTGTTTTTTTTTTTTTTTTTTTTTTTTTTTTTTTATTTTTTTTTTTTTTTTAGTTGTGGTTTTTTGGGTGTTGTTTGTAGGTGTGTGTTGTTTTTTTTGTTTTTCTCTCTCTCTCGTCTTTCCTCTCTCTCTCTCTCCCTCTCCCTCCTCGAATGCCTCTCTCTCCGTTCTGTGCGTCTCTCCTCCCGTGGTCGTGTTCCTGCCCCTCGTTCTTCCCTCCTCCTCATCTCTCTCCTC